GCTGGTGAAATGTTCAGCTCTACAAAGCAAAGGGGACAAAAGCTGTGCAGCTTCCAGCCCCAGGCAAGGACTCTCCTGCTGCCCCACTGCCTTTTGCACGTGGTGTCCAAACCAGCTTACACATGGAGCACAGGCCCCTCATCTACCCACAATGAAAGACCACTCTGGATGCCCTTCCGGTCCAAACCAGCTTACACACAGAGCACAGGCCCCTCATCTTCCAGTTCTTACCCACAATGAAAGATCACTCTGGATGCCCTTCCAGCTGCTTTTTAGCTTGGACACCACGTTCAAGACACAGTAATGCAAGAGGGAACAAGAAGGGAAAGGGAGGAGGAAGGTGTGAAATCAGTCCCTTGGGATGTCCAAACCAGCTTACACATGGAGCACAGGCCCCTCATCTACCCACAATGAAAGACCACTCTGGATGCCCTTCCAGCTGCTTTTTAGCTTGGACACCACGTTCAAGACACAGTAATGCAAGAGGGAACAAGAAGGGAAAGGGAGGAGGAAGGTGTGAAATCAGTCCCTTGGGAGTTTGTTCCAGCAGAAGGGCGCGGATGACAGGGCCCTGTGTGCCAGGGTTAGGGACAACCACAAGAGTGTGAAGTCTGCAGCAGGGCCAGAAGGGGAAAGGTTGAGAGTGTCTTGAAGGGAAATAGAGTGGAAAACCTAGCTCCAATTAGTGACCTCTGAGAAACCCCCTCTGTGTAGTCCCCATCCCCAGCCATGCGCTGCTGCTTGGGACATGGGACTGTCTCTCAGGACAGAGCCACTGGCGCAGGCAGCGAGGGATGCTGCAACTTGTAGGAGCAAGGTTGGTTGTTCTACATGCACTGTGTGCCTTGGGTGAAGCGATTTGCTTCCAAGGGACTCCCCCTCCCTGGTGGATGGCAGGGCCCTGTGGGTTAGGGACAACCACAAGAATGTGGAGTCTGCAGCAGGACCAGAAGGGGAAAGGTTGAGAGTGTCTTGAAGGGAAATAGAGTGGAAAACCTAGCTCCAATTAGTGACCTCTGAGAAACCCCCTCTGTGTAGTCCCCATCCCCAGCCATGCGCTGCTGCTTGGGACATGGGACTGTCTCTCAGGACAGAGCCACTGGCGCAGGCAGCGAGGGATGCTGCAACTTGTAGGAGCAAGGTTGGTTGTTCTACATGCACTGTGTGCCTTGGGTGAAGCGATTTGCTTCCAAGGGACTCCCCCTCCCTGGACCTGGGGTCCCTACAAAGCCCCAGCTCTGCCCCTCACCTCTGGCATGTCTCTGGTAGGGGAAACCCCCATGGGTACCGCTGAGCTGCACCCCAGCCTCTTCCAAAGGGCACCTGTGAGGGAAGGGGGACTAATCTGGGCCAGCATCGTGGCCATCAGCAGGACTTACCTACTGGTGTGCACTGAGGAGAGCTGAGGCATGGCTCTGCCTTGGGAGCTCCAGGTCCAAACTCCCAAACTGAGCCATCTGCAGCACTGCACCCCATTGAGCCAGGGGCCATCCACACACTAACAGCTCCAACAACAGCGAAAGGCAGGCACCTCCTGCCCTTCTTAGAGCTCAGGGGGTGCATCCATCGAGCCAGGGGCCGTCCACACACATAACAGCTCCAGCAACAGCGAAAGGCAGGCACCTCCCGCCCTTCTTAGAGCTCAGGGGGTGCATCCATGCTGCCACGACAGCTGGGGTCACCTCTGCATCAGGGCTGAGGGAGGGACACGCTCCAAGGACTCCTCCTAGACCTCTCCAAACAGCACTCACCAGCACCCACGCCTCCAGAGAGCTGGCTGTGCACCACTTCCCACTCTCCAGCCTCCTCCTTGCAATGGTGCCTCTGCCGCCAGCTGGGTGGCAGGAAAACACCTTTCTGCAACCCTCACACCCCCCACGACAGACCTTAAATCAATAACCCCAGAACACAGGGCCAGGTTATTGCTAACGGAAACCATTAAGCTGTAACACGGGAGGATAAAGCCAGCCTCTAACACTTGAAAGATTTATAGGGCACAACAGCAGGGTGTTAATTCTTTCGGCAACACAAACGCTTCCACACTCCCTGCCTTCCCTCACCCCCGGCAGTGAGGAGAGGGGACCACGTGCAGCCCAGCCCCAGGAAGGTGAGGACTCAAGGGCTCAGCCTTGTTCAGGCTGTGGCTGGCAGCACATGCACTCGGGCTGAGGCCGCGCTCGCAGGGCTGCCCCAGTGCAGCCTCAGGTCCACAGGGCAGCAATCCCCAGGGGACATCCCCCACGCTCTGGCTTCCCCCTGACACTCCCAGCTCCCGCCTGTCCCCACAGCTGCAGCAGAGGTTTGAGGAAAGGCTAGGAAGAAACTTTCAGACCGCCTAAAATAATTGGAGAAACCAGCCCAGCTCTTGGGCGCATAAGCCTCTCCACAGACCCGAATCAACCTGCAGCTTGAGGGTGTTTTTGTAGCTGGTGGAAGGGGCACCATCCCTGCAACGCTTGTTTGGATCCACACCCCCTTAGCACTGCTCCAGCAGCTCAGAGACCAGGGAGATGTTGGGCAGCACCGCGCTCAGCCCAGCTGCCCCGGGCAGGAGAGGGGATGTATGTGTGTGTGTGCTGCAGCAAAAGGGCTTTGCTTGGACTCCCAAAAAAGGGACACTTGCACCCTCCCCCCGAGTCCCTGCCAGGCCGACCTCCCTGGGAAGAGCTGCATTACTGATTAACAGCCCCCTGCCCGCCTCCCCCCAGTCCCGCTCACACCTTTGCCTGCAGCCACCTCCTCGGACCCTCCCTTGTGCAAAGTCCAGGGCCAGGCAGCAGAGGACAAGGTGGGAGCTCACGGCGGGACTCACCCCACGGGCAGCCTCCCCGCACCCCACACACTTGGGGTACCACGGGGGGCTCCCTGGACCCAGCTACGGAGCAGCAGGGGTCACCCAGCACGTGGGCAGCAACAGGAGCGTCCCTCTCCATCCAGGGGAGCGCAGGGGGCACAAGTGGGCTCCAGCCACTGTGCTAATTGCAGACCATAAGCCTGCTGCACCCCAGGCACACCCCAAAAAGGTCCTTGGAGGCCTGACCACGGTCCAAGTGGCAGCAGGAGCTTGGCTGAACCCCCCCGCTGGACACCCCACCCTGGGTTTATTGCTGCTGTTCCCCTCCCTGCTCTTCTACTAGAGGAGTGGGTGCTGTCTCCATCACGGAAGGGATCTGGGGGGGACTTTGACCAGGCACCTCCCACCCCAGGCACTGTGAGGAGCCCTGGGGAGGTCCCTCTCCCTGCAGATCCCAGCCGGGTGGCTGCGGGCTCCCCCACCCCAGCGTGTGCTGAGAGGGGGCCCAACCAGACACCACCGCACCCTGCCCAAGCCTGTCCCACACCCACACCTGAAGCCGGGGTGCTCAATCGCACCTCAGTGGTCCAAGCCAGCACTGCCAGCTCAGCTGGAGATCCCCAGACTTGTTGCAGCCCAAAAGCAGCCCAGGGCAGGGCTTTTCTCCATCCACCAGCAGAAAAGCAGGGTGCAGGGCCCCAGCACCGCTGGCTCAGGCGAGGTGCAGGGACGACGCTCAGGAGCACGTCCAAGCACGCTCCCTCGGGGGCTGCCTGGGATCACCCTTCTCTTCTAAGAGCTGCAGTGCGCTGGGGGGGCCTGGACAGGCCTCCTGCATCCCCCTCCCCATCACTGTCCATCCTTCCTCTGCCAAGCACCATCCCGCTGTGGGCGCCTGTAACCCCTCTGCAGTCACACCAACACCTCTCGCTCGGGGGACACCTGGAGATGAGACGTCAGACACCCCTCTCCTGGCAAGCTGGAGCAAAACCAACACGTGGGTTCGAAGGGAACAGACAGACAGACAGACATCGTAGCCGTCCTCACAGTGGGCAGACCCCCTGCCTGTGATCCCACCAAGGGCTTGAGCCCCCCGTACCCCAGCCCGCACAGGGAGCGGCGGTGAAGCAGGATCTCACACTGCCCCTCCGTGGCCACCAGCGGGAGGTGCAGGTGGCCCCAAAACCCGGGGGGTGCCTCGGGACCGGGGCGCAGCATCCTCACTCCGGCAGAACCCAAGAGACAGTCAGAGGGGTCTGCGCTGCCTGTCCTCACAGAGGGACAGTCGGGGGCTGCCACAGACCCCCCAGAGCAGCTCAGTGACCCCAGTCCTGCCCCACTCTCCCCAGACACCCCGGGATCACCCTTCTCTTCCAAGAGCTGCAGGGCGCTGGGGGGGCCTGGACAGGCCTCCTGCATCCCCCTCCCCATCACTGTCCATCCTTCCTCTGCCAAGCACCATCCCGCTGTGGGCGCCTGTAACCCCTCTGCAGTCACACCAACACCTCTTGCTTGGGGGACACCCGGAGACGAGACGTCAGACACCCCTCTCCTGGCAAGCTGGAGCAAAACCAACACGTGGGTTCGAAGGGAACAGACAGACAGACAGACATCGTAGCCGTCCTCACAGTGGGCAGACCCCCTGCCTGTGATCCCACCAAGGGCTTGAGCCCCTCGTACCCCAGCCCGCACAGGGAGCGGCAGTGGAGCAGGATCTCACACTGCCCCCCCGTGGCCACCAGCGGGAGGTGCAGGTGGCCGCAGACCCCCTGCCTGTGATCCCACCAAGGGCTTGAGCCCCTCGTACCCCAGCCCGCACAGGGAGCGGCAGTGGAGCAGGATCTCACACTGCCCCCCCGTGGCCACCAGCGGGAGGTGCAGGTGGCCCCAAAACCCAGGGGGTGCCTCGGGACCGGGGCGCAGCATCCTCACTCCGGCAGAACCCAAGAGACAGTCAGAGGGGTCTGCGCTGCCTGTCCTCACAGAGGGACAGTCGGGGGCTGCCACAGACCCCCCAGAGCAGCTCAGTGACCCCAGTCCTGCCCCACTCTCCCCAGACACCCCGCTCCAGCACCCAGTCCCTGACCTGTGCTACCTCTCCCAGGGCCAGACCCCAAGACTTCGTTCCCCAGGGTACTGAGGGGGGCACAGCCCGAGCCCAGGCCTGGCAACAGCCCACACAAAGGAGGAGACAAGGCAGCGCTGCTGTTTGGGCATCCGCATTTATTACACGGCTGGGGCACGCCCGGGGGCTGCCACTCGCCTGGGCCCCTCGAGTCGAAGGCAAATGACCGGTCCTCCTTAAATATTGGTTATAAAACAAATTTCTTTTTTTCCTTTTTCTTTTTCTTAAAAACCCCATCTCTTTCTCTCTCTCTCTCCCTCCATACTTTTTTGTCTTTTATATTTGAGTATAAAAGTGGGGGCGGGCGCTCCGCCTTGCCTGCCGCTACCTCCGCAGGCTGCGCTGTGCCTGCCGCAGCAGCGTGTCGAAGTCCAGGGAGTCAAACTTGCTCTTGACAGGGGCTGGGTCGAAATCTTCCCGGTTTGAGTCTGGAAGACAAGGGGGAGAGGCTGCTTTGAGCCATGGGGACGCTGGCACAATTCCAGCCATCCCTACAGCAACTCCTTCCCACCCTTCACTTCACGTGCCAACCTCCAGACCCAGAGCTGGGCTGGTGGAAGACTGGAGCTGGCCTCCATCACAGCGCTGGAGGGATGGGGAGCCCTCAGCCAACCTATCCCTGGACATGCTGGAGCGTGTCCAGAGGAGAGCCACCAAGCTGGTGGGGGGGTCTGGAGAACAAATCATACAAGGAGAGGCTGAGGGAACTGGGCATGTTGAGTTTGGAGAAGAGGAGGCTGAGGGGAGACCTCATTGCCCTGTACAGCTCCCTGAAAGGAGGGTGGAGAGAGGTGGGGGTTGGCCTCTTCTCCCAAGGGAATAATGCCAGGAGCAGAGGAAATGGTCTGAAGTTGGGGCAGGGGAGGTTTAGATGAGATACTGGGGAAAATGACTTTCCTGAGAGGGTGGTCAGGCCCTGGAACAGCCTGCCCAGGGAGGTGGTGGAGTCACCAGCCCTGGAGGGATTTAAGAACCGTGTAGATGTGGCACTTCAGGGCATGCTCTAGTGCCCGGGATTGTGGGGGTCTTTTGTGTGTGTGTATGGTTGGACTCAGTGATCTCACAGGTCCTTCCCAACCACGAAGATTCTGTGATATGGCCCTGCCCAGCCAAGCCTGACTGACCCCCAAGGACAGGAACCCCCCTACGCCTCTGGGAAGGAGAGAGGACCAGGGGTGCCACCCCTGAAACCTGGGGGCTGCACAACTCACCCAAGTCGGCGTAGTTCCTCCTGCAGAACTGCCGGCGGCCGCCGAAGCACAGGTCAAAGGGCTGCTCATCCGGGCGCCGCAGCTTGTGCCCGCTCTCGATGGCAGCAAAGGCTTCCTCGGCATAGCGGTAGGTGACAAAGCCATAGTTGTCCCTGGAGCCAGAGAAGGAGAAGCAGCAAGGAGATCAGTGGTAAGGCAAGATGCTTGTCCCACCTTGGTCTGTACTGTCCCCTTGAGGAAGGGGAAAAGGGCCAAGAGGAGCCACCCCTGGGGAGTGGTTGCCCCACGTTCCTGCAGCTCTTACCCCTCGGAGCGGAAGTGCAGGGTGCACTCCTCGATGTCCCCGAACACAGAGAAGCGGTGCCGCAGCTCCGACCGGGTCATCCTGCTGGGGATCTTGCCAATAAACACAACTCGCCGCTCCTCCTGCAGGCAGGGACACACCGCCACGTTAGATGGGAACTGGGGGGGACTCAGCATCTTCTGAGCCCTCCTGCTGAGCAGGACCCCTCGCACAGAGACCCTCCCGGTGAGCAGGACCCCTTGCACAGAGCACCCCTCCCAGCATCACCACCCATCACACCACGGCCAGAGCCTCCCAGCAATGCCCCCTGCAAGGCTACAAGCCCATGGCTTTCTCAAGTGATGGAGGAGTTGGGGGCTCCCCCCCAAATCTCCAGCCCCAGCTTCCCAGCACTCACTATTGCACGTTCCTTCTGGAGGATCCTCTGCCTTTGGTAGTGGTCCTGTGCGTCGTAACTGTATCTGGTAGGGCAGAGAGCGGACACATGAGCTACAGGGTCATGGGGGTGCCAGAAGAAAGTGATCCCAGACACAAGGGAGATACCGAAGACGTGGGTCCACTGCTGCCTGGGCCACAGGAAGTGGGGAGATGGGTTGGGGGAGCTCACACCCCCACAGGGTGGCCACACTCACCTTCTCCGCCTGTTACTCCTCCTGCGGGGTGAGGGGGAGCGGGACTGGCTGCGGGATGTGGACCTGGATGAGTAGGAAGACGTTGATGACGAGGATGAGGACCTGTCCCGGGACCTGCCACACGACCCACAGCTGGAGCGGGAGGAGGAGCTGTGAGAACACCTGGAGCGGTACCTGGGGAAAGGAGACACACGGCTCAGTGCTGAGCCCTCCCTGTGCCCAGCACCACAAGGCTCCAGAGAAGAAAGAGACCTCCATCCTCCCTGAGGTACCCAGAGCTCAGCTCAGACAGGACTCATCCAGAGATGGAAACCTCTGCCCAAGCTCGTCAGGGCAGTGATGACACTACAGAGACGTTGCTCCACTCGGTTCCAAGCACTGCAGCAAAAAGGGAGCAGGCTCAGAACAGGCACAGCCTCTGAAGAGCAAGAAACAGTCCCGGGGGAATGGTGCAGGACGTGGCTGCAACTGGGCAAGGGCCCAGCTGGGGCTGGGGCTGCGGTGCTGAGCCCCACACGGTGCAGAGGATGACACTGGAGCCATCAACAGCCATAGGAACGGAGACTGTACATGCCTCCAACCCTACTGAGCTCCGTGACATGCTGGGACAGGGCTGGCCTTCTGTGCCATCAGCCTCCTGCCCGCAAGGACCTCTCTGGCAGGATCAGACAAAACATAAGGAGTCCAGGATTGAAATCACTCCGGGATGAAGCCGTGCTGCCTCCAGCCAGCTGCAGGGTCCCTCTCTACACATGCTGCCCACGGGTGGTCCCCACAAACTCAGGCCCTGAGTGGGGCGTGCTGCCTGGTACTGCCACGTACTCTCCTGGAAGAGAGATGTGGGTCAGGATGGCACAGTCTGTGGGGACATTTCCCAGCACAGAGCCACCTATGTTTGCTGGAAAGCCAAGCCAGACAGGGCAAGTCCCCAAGCTGCACGTTCCTGGGACATGGCACTAGATACGTGCCCTTTCCATCTCCAGCCTCCACACCTATTGGCCACCGATGGACAAGCCCTTTGTGCCCAGTGACTGGGATGTCTTCAGAACTGGCTGAACCCCCAGGGAAGGGGGATCTGGGTGAGCCCTTGGCAGCTCCAGTGCCTCTCACCCCAGCTGGGACGGGCTGTGCATCACTCAGGTGCACAAGGACTCCAAAAGCAGCACATCCTGCAGAGACCAAGCTGCCCCACTTCCCTGCGCAGCCACCTCCAGAGGGAGCGTGGGGAGCCCCTGAGGCAGCCAAGCCAGACAGGTTTTTCTCTGCTTTTCTCCAGCAGCTCCCTGGAGGGTTCCATTGTGGCTCCTCTTATTTCTACACCTAGGGCTGCACCAGCCCCACAGCCCAGACACCAACACCTGCAAGAATACCCCAGAAAAAGCATCCAAAAGCCAAGGTGCCACCAAGGACTCGTACCATGGTGTCCCAGCAGAAAGGAAGCCTGGCTCAGGGGTGGCTTTACAGACACACCTGCCTAGGTGTGGGGTTCGGCCAGACACCCATTAGCAGGGTGTCGCAGCAGCTCCCCCAGTCTCTGCAAGCCAGACACCCCTTCAGAAGGGCCACAAGGAGAAAAAGATCATAGAATCGTAGAATTTTCTAGGTTGGAAGGGACCTTTCAGATCATCTAGTCCAACCATCAACTTAACTCTGATAAAATCCATCATTAAACCATGTCTCTAAGCACTGTGGCAACCTGCCTTTAAACATAACTACAGCCACCAAGAAGTTCCACAAAGAGCCTTTAAACACCTACAACTACAGCCACCAAGAAGTTCCACAAAGAGGTGTCTGGGCAGAAGACCAACCACCAGACAATTTGAAGAGCAGACAGATGCTCCTCCGCTTACCTTCGCCACCGCTTGGGTGGTGGGGAGAGGGACCGTGACCGGGAGCGGGAGGATGAGGATGAAGATGAAGATGAGGACTCGCTAGCTCCATCTGAACTGGAGCTGAAAGAACGGCTGGCACGGCTCCGTCCGGCCCTCCAGCTGCCGGCAGAGGGGCTGGGCGAGTCCCGGGGTCTCCGGTAGCAGCGCAGGGACCTCTTGGCAGCAGCACGGCCGGGCTGGGCACTGGGAGTCCGCGTCTCCTGGTCCCGGCAGGGGGATGCAGCTGGAGACAGGAGCACTGAGGTGGGGGGGCTGCTGCAGCCGGCGGTGGCCTTAGTGGGGACGCTAGTCCGATAATCCAGGGGCGCCAGGCAGGCTGTCCCCAGGGGCTCCTGGCCCGTCCCCACGCTGGTGGTGGGAGCTGGCGGGGTGGACTTGGGCTGGTCCAGCGTCCGTTTGGTTAAAGAGGAGATGGGTTTGATCGTGATGTCCCGGAGGTGTTTGACATTCCAGCGGGAGCCGCCCTCGGCGGGGGGCTGCGTGCCAGGGCTGCTCTCCGGCCGCGCCGCACCCGGGATGCAGTAGTCGTGGTCCCCCGAGCAGACGTGGCTGGGGGCTGAGCTGGCGGTGACCGGCGCTGGGCTCTTCCCCTGGAGCTTGCTTGGGAGCAGCGGTTTGGCTTTCACCACCGTGGCCATCTTCTGGGCCCCTTCCTGGGGTGTGGACCCGGGCGACTTGGCCTTGGCCAGCAGCGAGACAGCGGGCAATGGCTTCCAGAGCTGGTGGGGTGGCGTCGCTGGCGGGGTGAGACCTGTGAGAGCACCAAAGGACTTTCTAAGAGCAGCCCCCTGCTGCAACCCACCCAGCTGGGGCTACCTCCCAGCTCCACTCAAGCACAGGGGTCCCCCCCCAGCCCCACAACAGCCCCCCACCAGGACACAGCGGGCTCCCCCACCTCGCCCCGGGCATTACCTGCCACGTTAGCCAGCTCAGAGGCCTGCAGGCCATCCAAGGGCTTCCTGTCCTGCTGGGTCTCAGGCCTGAGAAGGAGAAAGGAGCTTCGTCAAAAATGCAGCAACTGGAGCCCAGTCCCCCACCCGAGCTGTCACCCCAGCCAGGCTGGGGAGACAGAGGGTCTGAGAGAGCCGCAGGGATGGCACTTGCGCATCCCAGTCATGCCCATTGCTGCTTCTCCCAATTTCTCCCCCTCAGCAAGGAGCACCCAGCCCAGCAAGGAGCTCAGCCCCTCCTGGACCCATGGACACAGCCCCTGGCACATTTCGGGTCCCACCAGGACTGAGAGCTGCCCCGTGCCCCCGCTGAAGGCAGGGCTCAGCCCTCTGCCAGGCTCCAGGCCGTGGCACGGGCTGTGAAGGTGATGGTACTCACCCCGAGCTCCCCGCCGGCCGCCTGTCCTCGGGGGGCTGCACGGGGGTCTCCTCCTTCTTGGCTGAAAAGAGAGTGGGAGGGTGAGGGTGGCAAGAGGCTGGACGTGGGGGGCAGGGGAGGGATCCTGCACACTGGGGGACACAGAGCACCCTGGGCACAGCCGGGGAGAGGTTTGGCAGCACCCCAAACCCAGCTCCCTGCGGAGAGGAGCTGCGCATCCCCTTTCCTTCCTGGGCTCTTCACCACCCCCTCGGCTGCCCTGGGGACCCCAAAACCGCTTTCACAGGCCAGGGAGGAGATGGGGGCACCTGGGCAAAGCACCCAGGCAGGGTAACACCAGCCTGCAGGCACCAGCTTCCCAGCCCCCCTGCTGCCACCCCACCACAGGGAGCACAACCAGCCCAGGGAGGCCAACATGGCACAGAGGGGGCCCCGCAGGGGACGGCACGCCGCATCCGCACCTTCAGACTTCTCAAACTGCTCCAGCAGGCTGGACAGGTCGGTGGCTTCGATCCCTGGGCCAGGGAGAGAGCACAGCAAGTCAGGTCAGCCAAAATCCTCCCGGCACCACAGGGATGCACCCCGGCCCCATCCTCCCCACGCATCAGCCTCCCCAGGCGACAGGGTGAGAGCAGCAGCAGCGCCTGCAGCGACTCCACGTCTCCCGCAGCGAGGACAGGAGCCCCAGGAGGGACCAGTTTGGGCACAGCCAGCCCAGACCACCCACTGGAGGCAACGTCCTGGCAGAGCGCTTGGGAAGAGACTGCAAGCCCGCGGGCACGGCTCTGCCACCCTCGCCCCCAGAAGTGCCAGGAACCGGTCCCACCACCCGGGCTGCCCGCAGCCCTCGCCGGCTGGCGACACTCAGCCCAGTGCCCCGCAGCCCTCCCGCTCACCAATCTCGCTGATGAAGGCCTGCACGATGTCCTTGCTGCTGTCGCTGGGCTGCGCCGGGCTGAGGAGCGGCTGGTGCCTCCAGGGCCGTGCAGCGGGCGCCTTGGTGGGCAGGCTGCTCTCCCGGCCCACTTTCGGTGGCGGTGCCACGGCCTGGGGGGTGGATTTTTGGCTAGGTGCCTCCTGCCCAGCAGTTGCCTTGGGTTCTGGCAGGGCTTTCTCCACTGACCCCTTGCCTGGCCCTGCAGTCTCCTCTGTGGGGCGGGCACCAGGGTTCTCCTCAGCAGGGCCAGCGGCAGGGGACACCTCGGCAGGGGACACCTCTGCAGGGCAATGGGTGGCAGCTGGGGGCACCTTTGGGAGCTGTGGTGGGGTTGCAGCCTGGGGCTCCTCTGGAGGCTGGGTGGGGGCAGCCTGGAGGGCTGGTGCTGCAGCAGGGACCCTGCTGGGCTGGGCAGCAGCAGGCGACGAGGCTGCCGGGGGCTGGGCAGGGGCTGGAGGGGTTTTGGGGAGAGAGCTCTCCCCTGCCAGCCGTGCCTGTCTCCTGGGGTCAGACACCCGGCTGGTGGCTGGCCTGGCTGGGCCACCAGCAGCCCCCATCTCGCTGGCTGGAGCATTAGGAGGCTGGGCAAGGAAGGCCGGTGGCTCCGGGCAGCCGAGCGCAGGGGTGGCAGGAGGCTGCCCGTGCAGGATGGCCGTGCCGGGGTGGCCGCCAGCTGGGAAGGTGGCAGCGCCCTGCAGTGCCGCTCCAGGGTCCCCGTAGGCCAGCGGAGGCACTGGAGGTGGCACGGGGATTCCTGGCCAGTAGGATGGTGATGCCCACCCTACTGGGGTGTAGGGGCCACCGGGGCCAAACGGAGGCGGGGGCGGCACGGCCGGTGGGGGCCAGGCCATGGCCGGAGGTGGGAGGCCAGGCACCATGTGAAAAGTACTGGAAGAGCTGGCACCGGGCGGCGGGGGCAAACCATGGCAGCCCACGGGCTGCGGGTTGAAACAAGGCCAGGAAGGCACTGGTGGGTAAAGGGCGTAAGCACCAGCAGAGGCTGGTGGCATCCCGGCTGGGGGCACATTCGGTGCGACGAAAGGCATTGGTGTTGATGGGGGTGGCGGGGCCGTGGCGGGTGCTGGAGCCGTGGCTGGTGTCGGAGCAGAGGCAGGAGCAGGGGGAGCTTTGCCAGCAGCAGAAGAGACTGCAGCGGGGCTGGTGGGTTTCTCCGGGCTCTTCTGAGTGCCGGCCGCCTCGGTGGCGGGGCGCACGGGCGGCACCAGGCAGGGGATCTCCGCCAGCTCTGTCGGGGGCTCAGGGACGCTGGGCCACTTGCTGGCTGCTTGCTTCTCGCCATCCTTCCTGTCTCCCGGGCTGGGCTGGCGGTGCAGCATGCGGATGCGGTATTCCCGCAGGCTCAGGGCCTTGGGCTTGGCTTCCTTGGGCAGACCCTCGCTCGGCTCTGTCGCCGGCAGGCTCTGGGGGGGCTCCAGCCCCACACCTTGCTCCTGGAGCGGAGAGGCAGCCTCCGAGACTCCACCACCCTGTCCGGCGGCCGGCTGCGCATCTCCCTCACCCTCAGCTTGGTCTGCCGGGCTGGGACACGCAGCCGCCGGCTGCTCCTCCACACTTGGGGCTGTCTTCTCCAGAGGCACCACAGTCTCAGCCTTCTCCAGGGCCATGCTCACCGTTTCTGGTGCTGGCTCCTTCTGCTGCTCCCACTGGGCCTTCTCCAGGGCCACACTCACCGTTTCTGGTGCTGGCTCCTTTTGCAGCTCCCGCTGGGCCTTCTCCAGGGCCACGCTCACCGTTTCTGGTGCAGGCTCCTTCTGCAGCTCCCGCTGGGCTTTCTCCAGCGGGGAGGCCCCTGTTGTGCTCCGGGGCCTGCCCCGGGGCCGTGGTGCCCGCTCGGCACGCAGCTCCATCTGCCCTTCCTTCTGGGCTCGCTCCAGCTGCCGCGCCAGGAAGTCTGAGACCTGGACGGAGGGACAGGCTGCTCGCCGCCGGCTGCTGGGGGGCTGGCCCGGGGGGTGGCCAGAGCCGGCCGAGCGGAGCCGGTGGGCCACGCAGTCCCTGCCTGGCCTAGCCTGCTCGCTTTGGTCCTCCTCTCCTTTCTTTTTCCTACTCTTCCTCGCTCTCTCACGGCCGCGTCCCTTCTCGGAGCCCTCGCGTTTGCTGCCCACCGGGGCACCGGTGCTGGGCTGGGAGCTGCTGTCGGGGCTACAGGCTCTGGGTGCTGCTTTCTCCGGGGGGGACGTGCTCTCTGGGGTAGTGCAGGAAGGCTCCTTCCCAGGTGGTTTCTCCTCCTTCTTCTCCTCCACCCTGTTTTCCTGGGCTGGAGCTCCTGGCAGCTCCTCTTGATCCGCTGGGATTGACCTCCCGGTACCCTCCTCTGCTGACAGAAGCTGGGGCTCCAGCTCGGGGAAGGTGGGGGCCAAGGGCTGCAGGACCACGGGGATCTCCACGCTCTCCCCCTCGCCAGGCACAATTTCCAGCAAGACGGGACCACTCAGGAGCTCCTTGGCCACGGGCTCGGTCTCGGGGTCCAGGCACACAGTGAAGGTGGGCAGGCAGTATGGGTGCATGGACTTCACCAGCTCGCTCAGGGACACGTCCCCCGTGTTGATGATGCAGGGGTCTTCGCGCTCCTCCAGTGCCGCCCCGGCTCTGCTCACACGCAGCTCCCCAGCCTCCATGCTGCTGTCTCGCCCTGGGCTCAAGGCAGCCTCCTCCTCCTCTTCCTCCCCATCGCTGCGCTGCGGCAGGGGCTGCTCTCGGGTCCGGTGCCGGCCCACCTTCCTCTCCACCCTCGGGGTGCTGCAGACTTGCTTCTTCGGCAGCACCGGGTCCTCGAGGCCATGAGCAGCACGGTCCCAAGCCAGGTCTGTGTCGGTCTGGGAAAAGGGACCAGAGTGAGTGGCAGCTCCTGAGCTTTCACCGGAGCCACCCCGGGGAACAGCCAACTGTGGGTCTGCTGCAACTCCGAGCAAAGCCCCTGGGCAGACAAAAAGCTGGGACATGTTTGATCTTCCCAGTAAGACACAACAGAGATGGAAAGCCCCCAACCCCTACATCCACAGCATCCCCAGTCCCACAATGCCCACCAGCTGGGGCAGTCCCTGCTCCCACTGATGCCCTGTGAAAGCATCACTCCTAGGACAGGACACCTGTGCCAGGGGGGACAGCAGGGACCGGGGAGGCAGCAGCAGGGACACAGTCACCCCAGCACCACCCCGACACCACTCCGTCAGCTTCCCCTGCTCAGCTGCTCACCTTCCCAACCACAGAGATGCTGCTGCTGAGAGGCCTGAGAGCCTTGGGCTGCTCCAGGGCTGGGCTCTCACACTCCAGTGACGGACGGGATAAGCTGAGAAACTTCTGAAACTAGAGAGGAGATGGACAGAGGATGAGGCAGCAGCAGATTTCTGTGGCTGGAGGGGACAGGCCATCCCCAGCCCCACAGCTCCCACTCGTGTCACCTCACAGGGCCCGGGAGCAAACTCAGCCTTGCTTCACCCCCAGCACACAAAGCCCAGCAGAAGGGGACATGCTGCTCCCCAGAGTCTCTGGCACGTCTCTGGCTCTACACCAAGACCCAAGGCGAAGGCACAGCCCCCCAAGCCTGCACTGGAGACCCGGGGGTGTCCCAGGTTGGCTCAGCCCTTCTCTCACATCACTGGTCAGAGCAACCATCCCATGGCACTGGGCACCAGGGTCCTACCACCTCAGGGCACCCTTGTGCCAGGACCCGACAGAGCCCTCCCTGAGCATCTTCCCACCCATTTTGGGGTCAGGCTGGCTCTATCCCACAACTCACCGAGGGGTTCTCCCGCTCCCGAGGGGAGGTCAGCAGCTCTGCGTCCATGATGGTGTCAAAGGGGGACAGGGTCTCATCGTCCGTGCTGTCCAGGATCTCAGTGATGGCAGTGAGCAGGGACAGCTCGTTCTGCGCATCCAGGCAGGCCTTGCTCTGCTGCAAGGGCAGGGACAGTCTCAGAGAGCAGTGGGACACGGCCATGGGGGACACTGCCACCACCCCCACCCCTGCCACAGCCAGAGACAGCCCAGCCACCGCTTCCCACCCCCGGGTGCGTGCTCCCACCTCGCTCAGGGAGAGGTCCTCAATGATGGAGATCACAGAGGAGTCAAGATAGTTCTGCATCGTCCCCAGGATCTCTTCAGCTTCCAAGATGGTTTCTGCATCCAGCGACGTTATGTTCAGGTCGTCCTCCTCGAGGGAAAAGCACTGTCGAGGAGCAGGGGGAGCCAGGTAAAGACTTTGCACAGCACCACTGCCAGCATTGGTCTCCTCCACAGGGCACATGGACCCCCCCAGCATCCCAAACACGCTGGGGAGGCCGGTGGGGCATGGCCACGCTGCTGGCCAGAACACGGCACAGAAGACCTTCCTCCTTTGCTTTTCAGGAGGGGTTTGGGCCAGTCCACCCCACTGTGCAAAACCCTCTGCCACCTTCAGCCTGAGACCCTTCCAATCACCAGGGATGTCTCCACACCAACGGCTCACTCTGCAGCTGCCCCATTGGGAAAGATCAATCCATAAAGCCACAACTCTGCCCAGCACCAGGCATCGCCCAGGCTGGATGGGGAGGGATGAAGCAGGCTCCCCCCACCCCATGGACTGTCACATGCTCCTCTGACTCCGCTGTCGGCGCTTCAGATAAGCCCCAAAACATTACGAAATTCATAACAAAAGCGCAGGAGTCAGCAATAGGGATGGAGCCAGCGGCCGCTGCCGGAGCCCTGCCCCGGCCCCTCTCTGCTGCAGGCTACCAGAGGACAGGGGCTGTGCTCACAAACCAGGACCAAACCGCCTTCTTCCTCCAAATTCCCAGCCCCACACCCTTTCCAGTCCCTCAGCCAGCTCCAGTGATGTGCAGGTAACACCGGATAACTTAGAATCACAGAATGGTCAGAGTTGGAAGGGACCTTAAAGACCATCCAGTTCCAACCCCCTGCCCTGGGCAGGGACATCTCCCACCAGACCAGGTTGCTCCAAGCCCCATCCAGCCTGGCCTTGAACCCCTCCAGGGATGGGGCAGCCACAGCTTCTCTGGGCAACCTCTTCCAGGCTCTCACCACCCTCACACCAAAGAAGTTCTTTCTGGGATCTCATCTCAATCTCCCCTCTTCCAAATTAGAACCGTTACCCCTTGTCCTGTCATGACACTGATGAAATGTCTCTGCACCACACGCCGTGGTGCCGCACAGCCCAGAGCTGCAGGGCGCCCAGGGAAAGGCAGCAACAGGGAGATGCCACGCGAGGGCAGGGGCTGCAGCCCCCGGGGCAAGCAAAGCCACCGGACACGCGGCCCCTGCCCCGAGCGGCATGTTGTGTCGCAGGCACGAGACAGGATGCAAATTCCTGTTTGCAGATGGGCTCGGGCAGAGATAAGGCAGGCGGGGAAGATAAGGGCACCAAGGACGGAGCCCTGGGAGAGCACACCTCCCTCTGATGCAGCTCATCCCTGCTTCACCTAGGGCCTGCAGCTTCCACAAGCCCGAGCCCACGCAGGACAAAATGCCCCCTTGTCCCTGTACAAGAAAAGGAGGCTGAGGGGAGACCTTCTGGCTCTCTCCAACTCCCTGAAAGGAGGGTGTAGCCAGGGGGGGTCGGTCTCTGCTCCCAAGTCACAGGCCATGGGACAAGAGGAAACGGCCTCAAGTTGCACCAGGGGAGGTTCAGATTGGAGATTAGGAACGATTTTTATATAGAAAGGGTTCTTAAGCCTTGGAATGGGTTGCCCAGGGAAGGGGTTGAGGCCCCATCCCTGGAGTTGGTCAAAAGAAGGGTTGACATAGTGCTGGGGGACATGGTTTAGTGATGTTTTTTTTTTTGTCAGAGTTGGGTTCATGGTTGGACTAGATGATCTTGAAGGTCCCTTCCAACCCAGACAATGCTATGACCTGCCTGGGCTTTGAAATCCTGCCCTTGAAAGCAGGCATTTCACTAAATATGTGTTTCCTAAAAGATGGCAGCACCATAACCACCTGCCCAAACCCCTGCTCCCTGGGGCTCTTCAGACACTTGCCCCCATCAGACAGAGCAGGCACCCCTGTAGAATGGGCAGAGTTGGATGGGACCTTAAAGATCATCCAGTTCCAACCCCCTGCCCTGGGCAGGGACACCTCCCACCAGACCAGGTTGCTCCAAGCCCCATCCAGCCTGGCCTTGAACCCCTCCAGGGGTGGGGCAGCCACAGCTTCTCTGGGCAACCTGGGCCAGGCTCTCACCACCCTCACAGCAAAGAATTTCTTTCTGGGATCTCATCTCAATCTCCCCTCTTCCAAATTAGAACCGTTACCCCTTGTCCTGTCACGACACTGATGAAATGTCTCTGCACCACACGCCGTGGTGCCACACAGCCCAGCGCTGCAGGGCGCCCAGGGAAAGGCAGCAACAGGGAGATGCCACGCGAGGGCAGGGGCTGCAGCCCCCAGGGCAAGCAAAGCCACCAGACACACGGCCTCTGCCCCGAGCGGCATGTTGTGTCGCAGGCACGAGACAGGATGCAAATTCCTGTTTGCAGATGGGCTCGGGCAGAGATAAGGCAGGCGGGGAAGATAAGGGCACCAAGGACGGAGCCCTGGGAGAGCACAGCTCCCTCTGATGCAGCTCATCCCTGCTTCACCTAGGGCCTGCAGCTTCCACAAGCCCGAGCCCACGCAGGACAAAATGCCCCCTTGTCCCTGTACAAGAAAAGGAGGCTGAGGGGAGACCTTCTGGCTCTCTCCAACTCCCTGAAAGGAGGGTGTAGCCAGGGGGGGTCGGTCTCTGCTCCCAAGTCACAGGCCATGGGACAAGAGGAAACGGCCTCAAGTTGCACCAGGGGAGGTTCAGATTGGAGATTAGGAACGATTTTTATATAGAAAGGGTTCTTAAGCCTTGGAATGGGTTGCCCAGGGAAGGGGTTGAGGCCCCATCCCTGGAGTTGGTCAAAAGAAGGGTTGACATAGTGCTGGGGGACATGGTTTAGTGATGTTTTTTTTTTTGTCAGAGTTGGGTTCATGGTTGGACTAGATGATCTTGAAGGTCCCTTCCAACCCAGACAATGCTATGACCTGCCTGGGCTTTGAAATCCTGCCCTTGAAAGCAGGCATTTCACTAAATATGTGTTTCCTAAAAGATGGCAGCACCATAACCACCTGCCCAAACCCCTGCTCCCTGGGGCTCTTCAGACACTTGCCCCCATCAGACAGAGCAGGCACCCCTGGCCGTGCCACAGCCGGGAGCCCCGGGTGACCCCAGAGCATGGGCACCCCAGGAACCTGGGAATCAAACCCAGGACCCCCCCCAGCAACACCCTGCACCCACCCACCCCAAATCCTCCCCTGCCTGTCACTGCGTCCCGACACGGCCCCAGGGAGCAGGGGCCCTGTGCAGTGCTCTGGGGCTCAGCAGGCGGGTTCGTAGCCCAGGCCACCCTCTCCCAGGGCTCTCCTCCTGGAACCGGAGCCCAACGGTGGCACCGGGACCCCGCTGCAGATCGGGCTGTGGAGCAGTTTTACCGCTCGGCATCTCCAGCCCCTCCCTCAGCCGGTGCCTGGTCCGAGCCCGGTGCAGAGCCCCGGCTGGAAGCCCCTCTAGGGCGCTGCGATTCCCAGCCCATCCTCCTGGAGATACTGGGAGGAGCGGATAAAGCACATCCAGGCTCACCCACCCAGCAGCGTGCAGCCCTGAGTCAGCGGTGACCGGCAGGGAAAGGCACCCGGACCACCGGAGGAGCCAGCCAGAGGGGGGGCTGGTGGATCATCAGCAGCTGAGGGACACGGGGACAAGCTCCCCCCTGCCTGCTGACAGCCAGAGGGGCCGGGGGACGCCCCGGGGGGTGGCATGGCCCTGCCCATCCTGTCCTGCCCCAGGGCTGGCTCTCCCCAACGGCAGTGTCTAATGAGAGGTTTCCAGCCCTGACCGGCGCTGGACGTTTTGGGGGGGAGGGAAGTAAAATCCTCCCACTCAAAGGGCCTCTCTCTTCCCGCGGCTCCTGCCCGCGGCCCGGGCGAGCTCCCAAACCCTCCTCACCCCCTTTGACTCAGCGCAACAAGGAGTCCCACAGCCGTGAGTCACCGGCCAACGCGGCCGCCTTCCCCCAGGACTCCCTTTGATCCACCTGGGGCCGGGCACCCCCTTCAGACCCCCCCCCCCAGCTCCCACATCAGGGTTGGGGGGGTACAAACCAGCCCAGGCTGCTCCTACCTCCCTGTGCCCCCCAGCTCGGGGGGGACCCCATCTCCCTGTCTTTTGCTTTACACTCAGCAGCACAAGAAATAGGTTGTAGGGTCACAGGGACATTCAAGGACAGCTAGGGTACCCCCCTAGCTCGGGGGGGACACCCCCTGCACCCCTCCCCCCCATCAGCACAGGAAGGAGGTTGCCAGGTCACAGGGACATCCAAGGCCAGGCACGGGGCTGTCACTCCACCGGCGGGGGGGAGATTCCTGCAGCCCCAGAGGGAGATTTGGGCAGGGGGGGAGCTGGGATTGGAGCTGGGGAATAGAGAGGAACTGAGCGTGGCCACCAGCCCCCCCTTCCCCCCCCCCACAGCGC